AAAAAAAAAAAAGATAATTTTTATTTAGCTGATATTTATGAAGCTATTTATCCATATGAAGCAACTGATCAAGGTGATTTATCATTTAATGCTCGCGATCGTATTATTGTATTAAAACGTGAAGGTGATTGGTGGACAGGAAAAATTGGTGATCGTATAGGAACATTTCCAAATAATTATGTTCAAAAAGTTGAAACTGTAAATAATCAAAGAAAAAAAAAAAACTATTTGATTTTATTATTTTCTCTTCTATTTTTTAAAGCCATTACTTGAGACAGCTATTGCAATAGCACCTTTTCAAACAAAAGATGAAGGTCGTTTATCCTTTGATGTAGGTCAATTAATTTATATAAGAAAAAAAGGTGATAAAGGATGGTATCAAGGAGAAATTCGAGTAAGTCAAATAAATTTTTGTTTGTTTTTTACAACTTCTTATTCTTTTTCATATGAAGCTTTCTGATCAACCAATACATGTTGGTTGGTTTCCGGCAAATTGCGTACAAATACAAACACTTTCTACACCTGCACCTGCACCATCAACGGCTTTGTATCAAAATGCATCAGGTATTAAATGGAAAACAACATTATGTATAGAATACTCTAAATAGTTCTAATGAGAGGTGTTCTATTGAACTAAAGGCTTTCTGATCAAAGTTATAGACATTTAACTAAAATTTTAGTCTTTGGTTTGGCATACATCAACAAATAGAATGAACAATACTTTTTATATGAGATTTTGTCTATGGACAGATTCTTTTGTCAGTTGAATGGTCTAAAATTTCAGTTCGAAAGAGTTTTTACTCCCTAAGATACTACAGTCTCAAAATTCGGTTTTGGAACTCTAATGTCTAAGGAAGGAATTATTCTTTTAAGGAGATACTTTTATGGTATTCTACTGACAAATAGATCAGCCGATGGAAAAGATTTCAAGTCCAAACACTATCATTTGGGATGTTAGTAAAGACAATGTCAGAGTCTGAAACTCTAGTAGAATGTCTATAGTGTTGGACAGAAGACTTCAAGAGACTTATTCTTTTGAAATTTTTTTATATCATGTCAAGTATCTACCTTACACACAGAGTTCGGATTCAAAAGTGACTAATCAGTTGAAAACGGTTCCTTATTAGAAAATTCTTAGAGAGTTTGAACTGATGAGCCTTTCTTCAAAGATTATAACTACTTTATTGATAGTTGTACTTAAGTAAATATAGATAGAGTTTATCTGTATTTGTAAACACTCGCTTTTAGAATCGTTCTTTCTGAGCTAACTATTTCTGCCAAGAAAAATGAAATTGTCTTTTTAACTTGACTATATTCTATTTCGAAAATACTCAAAATAAGATTCAATATAGAAGTCTTCGTTAAAATGTTGCTGATTTTCAGCTGACTATTAATTAATAAATAATTAGCGACTACCATAAGAGAGCAAAACCCAAGAAACTTCAGTTTAGAGACTACGAAACAAACTGTACAGTGAAATTTTTAGCAAGATCGGACTCCAAAAAAAAAAATCAGTTTTATAGAAATTTTTACCGTTAGGACTTGATTTGTGAACTTCCTATTGAGTTATAAGAGCATTTTTTTTTCTCGTAGTTCATCGTATCACTAACGAAAGTAAATTGATTGTTTTTTTAAATTCTAGACGTATTCAGAATAAATTTTGTAACTTTAGAAATTCTCCATATAGTCTATTATTTATTTTTATCTCAATTAAAACTAAAATCCTAATAAATAATTATACAAAATATTCTATTTAGAATTACCTCGATATATTGCTCTTTTTGCATATGATGCTCAACAAGATGATGAATTAAGTTTTCCAGCTGATGCAATTTTAGAAATATTAGAGCAAGCAGATCATAATGGTTGGTTTAAAGCTCGATATGGTAATAAAATTGGTTTGATTCCATCAACGTATGTAAAACCAATCGATGAACATACAACATGTAAGTGTTTTAAATAAATGATTATAATAATAATCTGCTTGGGGCACTAATAATTATAAATAAAAAAAACATAATTTTCATAGTAAATTAACATATAAATAGATTAAGGGTGCGCGGAAAGCGATGTATGTGGATTTTTTTAACTTTTCTTAGATAGACTAACAAAAAGAGAAATCACAAACAAAATGAGAAAAAAAAAACGAAACAAAAGCTTTTTTTTTTTATTTTGTTTTTCACTATATATATGTTTTTCTTTTTTTTTTTGTTTTGGTTAATTCATTTTTGTCCATATTCTAGGACAATGATAATCGTCATTTCAAAACATGATACTCGCGCGTGTCAAAAGCAGGAAGATGATGATGGTGTCCAAATGCATATATATATATACATAAGCGAGCACAGACGATTATTATTTATTTTAAAATTCCCAATAATCCTATTTTTTATATAATATGTTTTTAATCGTCATCATCTTTGATTACGCGAGCATTTTGTAAAAAAAAATAAAATCCACATACATTCGCATTATACTACTTATTTTCTTCTACTTTTCTTTTTTTTGCGTTTGTTTTATCTGAGTGACAGTTACTGTTCTTATTTCATTCTTATCAATCTATGTATGTATCTATGTGCTCGATTCTTTTCTGCGATAAACTATTTAAGAAAAAAAAAAAAAAAAAAAGACGGTTTATAATGTGTATGCACTATGCAATAAACATGTATGTGTTTGTGTTTATTGTTTCTTTTCTTTTCTTTTTCTACGCTTTGGTTCTATCTTTATCTTTAATTTGTGAATCCTGGTGATGTTGATGAACTAAACTTGTGTTGTTATCAATCTAATCATCAATCACTATTTTTCTATAATTACACATTAAGGTGATTTGACTGTTTTTTTTTTTATTATTCTTCTGTATAGCCGTGTCTCTCTACCTTTTTCTGTATCGCTATCTCATATATGCAAAAGAATATGAAATATAATTATACATATATACATATTGATGTGTGCTTGGTTGAAAATTAACAAAAAAAAAAATCCATTTTTTAATTTCCATATTGTATGAGTAGAAAGAAGAAAATGTTCGAAAAAGTGTTCACTACTACTTGCTGTTGCTTTCCAATACTAACATCAGCTACAGCACCAGCCAAATACAAATGCCATGCACATTATAAACAAAAAACATCATCTTTTATTATATCTTATCGTAAGTTTAGAATTAATGATCAAAATAAAACAACACAAAATAATGACAAATACAATGATCATGATAATGGCTGCATGCAGAAAATAAAAAGCAGTTATTCAACGACTAATAAATGCGCGTGTGTTTGTTTACTATTCTTAGTACTTCTTTGTTTTTTTGTCCTATCAAAAATCTGACAAAATTTTAGTGCATGTTGATAAGCATGGCTGATTATTTTCTTAAAAATTGCTCCTCTCTCCCACTTTTCGTTCAACAAAGGAAACAAAAAAAAAAAAATCTTAATGTTATAATAAATTTTTTTCCAGCTTCATCTACACAAATTCGTCTTCTTCCATCTATTCCTACTACAGTTAATTCATCTCAACAGCTAATTATTAAAGATTCGATAACAAAAACAAAGTCAAATGATGATGATACATCATCATCATCATCACCTTTTATTGATAGTAGATCATCACAAAATTTACCAACTAATCCATTAAGAATATCTGCTATTCGAGAATTAATCGAAACAGAACAACGTTATGTTGATGATTTATTAATGGTTACTAATCAATTTATTAAACCATTACATGATGCACGAATTTTAAATGATTATGAAATCGAACAACTATTTATTAATTGGTATAGTTTAATTAATCTAAATAGTAATCTTCTAAAAGCATTACACGAACAAGTAGATTATAAAGAAGATATTTCTTCAACAGAAAATGATGTGATTATGCGAGGACCCCGATCAGTATCTATGTCAAACATTGCATTAGCTGCTCAGGTCAGTATATATAAATAACAGTTTTCGTTTAAATCTAATTCCTATGAAATTAACATATGAGAAATAACGACACTACCTTTTTGTAGTCTAACAAGAAAACTTCTTATGAGATTCAAAGTGAATGATAATCATCAATAGTCCGTTGCGATATAATATGTATTATACCCGGGAATATTCGCCGATAGGAACAAAAAAACTATCGTCATACCGATAATTTACTGCTGTTTGTTGTCAGTACTCATAAGTATTGAAGTATATCGACTTTAGTGCGAACAAATATACAACTTATGTCTTCTAACTGGTGAATAACTTGCGATTTGATATTAGACATTGACAATTGCTCAAATGCTAGACAGAAGACATGGTTTCTATTTGACTTGACACAGACTTCAATTCGCTGATATACGATTCAATCACATACGGATGAAAGTGGCATGTAAAAAAATGAAGACTTATCCCATAGAATGGCTTCGTAGATAATCTCACTGGTAAACAGTAATTGATTATTGACAATTGACATTCTGAATCAATCGAAATGCTACAGAAAAACGAAAACTGAAACAGAGAGAAACTTCAAAATAAGAAAAAAATGATAGAGGATTTTAAGAAATTCATATCTAATATTTCTTGTTTTTGAATAGATTATTAGTTATTTTCTAGACCTTTCTGAGCTATTTCTTGATAACTCTAAAGAAATTTTTTTGTCGATTTTATTATTCAGCATTGCTATCAATTTTACACTGTGATTAATTGTCGTTCGACCAATTATCATAGATCTATGCTTACGAATAGGTATCTGTGAGTTCAAGAAAATCTTCCCAATATTCAACTATAGAGATTATTGATGAAAAGTTATAAGTGTTTTAATAGTTTTATTTATACAGAGCAAGCTATTTCTAAAAAGATATTGAAAATAAAGTATATTGACTAGATGTTTATCCTATAGATAAATTTACGTCATAGTTCTTACACCATCTTGCAGTCAAATCTTAGATAGAAAGTTATAGATTTGCATTCTTCGATAGGTTTTTCAATTCTCAAAGAGGTATTTCTGTAGCCATAATATCAAAATAAATAATTTATAATAGTTGCAAATATCCGTTCATAAGACAAAAAAAAGTTTTACCAAGATCATCTTTGTTGTATGCCTGAACTATAAATAAATTACATCAAATTGTGATTATTCAGATGGATATAGTCGTATTCTAATTGATTTCAAAAGTTTAAATTTTTCATGATTTATGCTATATTGATAAGAACTCAATAGAAAATAATTTTATTTTTCAAATTCAATGATAATACGTTGATAAAAATCATCACTTAAAAGTATTTCACTTAATTCATATGTTCCTAACAATTGAATTAACTCTATATTCATTCGAATTCAATCCAGTAGACTTTAATCGATTAAATTATAACTTATGACTAAAAATTGTTCTTTAAAACATATAGAATTTCAATTGAAATATGTATTCGGATTTCTGATAAAAGAAAATATGAATTATTTTCTTTCTCATTTTAGTTATCTTCAAAAAGTATTATCGATAATCGTCATCGTTCATTTACTCCTGATGTTTCTCAGTCTCCATCTATTCGTCGATTAAAACAACGTAGTGGAATTCATCGTCGTTCACCATCAACTAGTAATATAGTAGTTAAACCAAATACTGAACATATGAATGATAATATTGTTCCTCCATCTCCTCTATTATCACCAGGATCAATGACAATAACAGAATCAACAAAAATAGGTGAAATACTTTGTTCTCATTTACCAAATATGGCAAATGATTATTTTCAATATTGTAATTCTCGTTCTCAAGCAAATAAATCTTTACAATTAAAAATTGATTCCAATGAACATATTCGTTCATATATAAAAATTTTTCAAGATAAAACCGGTGGTTTATCATTACATGGTTTTTTAACAAAACCAATTCAACGTGTTACACGTTATCCATTATTAATTGAAAAAATTCTTAAACATACATTAATAAATCATTCAGATTATGAATCATTAAAACAAGCACTTGATTGTGCACGTCAATTAAATGAAAGAATTAATAAACAAATAAGTGAACAAGAAAGTAGTTCACGTTTAGAATGGTTACAACAACATTTAATACTTGGTAGTGATGAAAATTCTTCTGATGGATATTTATTAGATGAATTAATAAAATTCAATTCATTAAATAAATATAATCTACAAAGAAAATTACTATTACATGGTTTAATAATGAAGGTTAGATATAGACAAAAAACAAAATGACATTTGTTTTCATATATCAATGGCATATTAAAAGTAGCTGCAGAGTTATTTTTATTTCCTATAACAAAGAACCTATAGAAACTATGTCTATCTGTATGACTTTATAGTAAAAACAATCTTTTTCATGTCTCAGATATTTGATTATTCTTTAACTGTATTATAATAATGAATTTTGATGACAGCTGTTTGTTATGAAATGTGACCATCACAGTAGATCATATTTTATCTTCGATGTGTCTCCTCTAATGCTTCTCTCATAACAGAAGACCTAAGACCAGACCATCATTTCCTTAGAGTCTGCTCTAATCCTATTCACATCGTAACGATATTATTTGCTTATCTTTATTTCGGGATCTTTTGATTCGAAATAAGAACATCAAATCTGCCATTACATACGAATGGCGTAGAAGGAATTCTTTTGTCATAGCTGTAACTTAAGATAACAGTGACAAACTACTCTCTTCACGAACTATGCCTGTACAAAGTTCCAAGTTGCAATTTGAAAATCAGTTTTCTTGATGTTCCGAAGAAGGACTACGGTATTTATTTAAAAACTACTGTTTATGTACATGAAATCGATTCAAAAGTGTTTTATAAGTTGAGGAAAATTTTTCGTTAATCAAACAAAATCTAAGCAATTAGAGAAATTCCAAATCGCTGCATCATGCTGAATCAGTTTATGTAGTCTTGTTTTATTCTACTGCTAAGACTTTTTGTGTACCCTAATGTTTATAAACAACCATGCCTTCGAACAGACGAGAAAAATGAAGAGAATACACATTGAAGACGAGATTTGATTAAATATCACCATTGCATATCATGATAGTGAGCTCTCATCGAAATTTTGTTATTATAATACTAGTTAAACTTTTTTTTGTCATGAGAATATTTCAGACACTACTTTTAGTATACTCTAAAATAATTTTTTTTTGTTTTTTGTTTCGATTGTTTAGGTACCTAGTGGAAAAGAATTATTAGCATTTTTATTTAATGATTTTCTTCTATTTTCAACTATAAAATCATCATCAACTAATTGGCAAACACAATTATTTGAACAAAAATCAACTTTACAATTAAAACTTTATCGTTTGGTTTGATTAAATTCATTAGAGTTGTTTTATTTTGTATTTTTATGAGTTTTTTTTTTTTTGTTTTGTTTTTCTTAGCCATTATTTTTAACTGATATTATCATTGCTAATGAATCACTTAATGATCAATTAACGTTTTCTATTACATCGAAAATTCATGAGAAACCATTAGTATTAAAAACACAACAGACGAATGTTCGGTATGTTTGAAAATGGGAATTATTACATTTCATACGTAAGTTGTTTAGTACTCTATGGGTAAGATCAATCAATAACGCTGTTGAAGAATGTCAAGCAGCAGAAAAATCAATTCTAGCTGATAAAGCAATGTTTACAATTACAGGTAAAAAAAAACTAAAGATAGATGATCTTGGAATAAATCATTCTTGCATACTTAAAAGTTTCCTTTTTTTTTTTTTGACTTTCTATTCAACATAACATTTAGTCGTAATTATAAAACTTTGAAAGAAAAGAAAAACTGTGTGTTCATAGTCTTAATAATATCGAGTAGTTCTACAAACTGATCATATAGATTTTATTTCGATTTTTTTTTCGTAACAGTAACTATCATAAAGAATTCGAATAGTGATTTCTATAAACAAAAAACAAAAGGTGATTAGAAGGTTTTGACTATAGAACGAGATATATTTAGACGTGTAGACAAAGACTTTCTCTGTCTAGCAGTATGTGTATTATTAAGTTCTATTACGTACTATCGACATGCCAATAATTGTAGTCGAAAGTTATCGAAAAGTTTATAGTTGTATTTGTTTTCAATAAAGATTTGACGAGAATAGAACTAAAATTCACTTTTTCTGTACTCAGACCTTGAAAACAAAAGTTTCTTTGATCGAACTATACTGTCTTGAAATCGGTGTCGTTCAATCAAAAAATGTCGAGAAGTTCTCAGAAATATCTGATTTTCTAGGAAATTCGTTGTTCTATCAACCTGTATAATAAAAAAAGAAACTTTTCTTTTTCCGTTGTGAATTTTGAAAAATTTGGTTTGGAGAATACTGTGATGATTGCAACAATATTATATTTACGCGATCTAGGTGCTGAAAAACTATTTGTTTTTTTGAACTCTAGAATCCTTATCTTTAAGAATCTAATAATAGTTTTCTCTGCTTGAATCACTATTTGAAATTTTTCTAATTCTCACATTAATAGAAAAAAATTTGTACATAATCCTTGTCGAACATTTTTGATAGTCACTGTATATAAACTAATCCATTTTTCGATTCATCCATCGAAGAATTTATAAATACTTTTAACATTAAGAATAGGATATCTAAACTATCAAGTATAATAGTGTAACGTTATTGATAAAAAAACAAACTCATAGATTTATTCCTGATATCAAGAATACGATTATAAGTCATATCGTACATTTTTCATCATTTTCTTTGGAAAGTTTAAAATATACTGTTTCGTTCTATATAATTCTAGATTATTTATATCGATTGCAAATATTACTCATATTTTGTTTTTTCTTTTTAAAGACAATAAACGTAATTTAAAAGCAGCCGCTGCACGTCTTCTTCTTGTTGTACAAGAAGCTCAAGATTTAATGCCATCAAGTACAACACTTGAACGACATCGTTCGTATTATTTTTCTTATCAACACTTTGGAATAGTTTTCTTTTTTTTAAAGGTTCTGTTGATCCCTATTGTGAAATAACTGTCTGTTCATTAACATTAAAAACACCATTTATTAAACGAACAGTTAATCCAAAATGGAATGCACCTATGCAATTTCTTTTATATAATCTTAACGAAGATATTATTTATATCAATATATTTGATAATGAATATTTTTCACCCAATGGTTTAAAAATTCTAATTAATTTTATAGATTAAAAAAAAAAACGAAAGTTGTTTTTGTTTTTCTATTTAGAAAGTCTCGGTTATACATCTGTACATCTTATTGATATCCTTCCGTGTCCACTTGATACATTCCTAACTAAACCTTCACTTCCATTTACTCAAAAAGTTTATCTTAACAATGGATCATCAGTTATTATTAAATGTGTTGTTCAAATTTTAACAACATCAAATTAGAAAATTCGACGTTAATTGTACATTATTATTTATTTTTCATTTCTTATTTTTTTTAAGTATTTGTGCAATTAAAGTTTTCTTTTTATATGCCTATGCGTCTATGTGAAAACATGTTATTCAAACAGTGATTCTTTTTTGATTTCCGCTCGACAAAACAACAATCTCACCCAACCTCAAATCTGAATTAAACTATTGCACAAATGCTTGCATTTTAATATTAAAGAGGCCGGTGGTTTTGTTATTAATTAACAAAAAATATCAAATAACTTGTCAAATTTAAATCGCCAAAAACACATATGTGTCGTTGGCAGTAGGTTTTATTCTTTATCTGTATATTTATCCAATAACTATTTAAGTAATGCTTAGAATTCTTACGTATTTTTCTGTCATATTACATATGTGTGTATGGCCTTGTTATTTTCTTCTGTGCTCTCTTTTTCTATCATTATTATTAAAACACAACGAGCTACATGCTTTTTTTTTACTCAGCTAATGCAACAATGATTCCAAAAATTTTCTTCTATCTATTGTAAACGAAAGAATTTTCTATAGAATCTTTTCTATTATTTTAATCACTAGAATAATTTATTCGAATCATTTCTTGTTATAGATGAAAAAATGTCAATTTAGATATTCTTCAGTGATCAGATTTTGTAATGGCATGCACTAGTTTCTTTTGATACATTATGTAATATGTTGCTATAAATCGGCACGCTCTTGTCATTGTACCATATATTTAATCAAAATTAATCATTTACTTCTTAGTAAATTGTAATAAGTAACTTTCATGAAGACTGCATATCTTGAAGTCTGTTGAGCTTCAACACTTTCTTCTTTTATTCCTAGCTTCGTTGACATGATATATATATAAGGACAAATCAGTTCCTACGTCCGACGTACTCTCCGGTTAAGTTGCTTATTATTGATTACTGAGAGGTACATGATTCTCATCAGATACATGTTGTAACGATGAGAATACTTGGACTAGTGACACATCGGCCTTCCAGAGCAACATCTTTGTTAAAAAAAATGCAACCTTATGATCTATCTAAGTCGTTCCATCACTTTGTACAAGTTAAGAAGAACAAGAAAAGAATATGATACAATGATTATAGGCGCGATGGTAACAGCACTACTGATAAAAGCATATATCTCTAGGAATATATACCATCTATTTCCTATGAATAATGCTGTAATTAGTTTCGCTGTTTCACAATATCAATTATCAATGAATAATATTGTTACTCAGAAAAGACTAAACTGTTTTCTGTTTGATGCAAAAATGAAATGCATGTGAGCAATGTAAATAAAAGAATCTTTGATTTGTTTGTTTAGTTATTGGTGTGCGACTTTATAGGTTAAGATCACTCGTATCTTTGCGACGGATCATGTCGATACTGCAGTAATATTGACTTTGGTTCATTTCTGTTTTTTTTTTCGAAAAACAGGAATCCTATACTAAATAAAAAAGAATAACGAACTTTTTCATGAAGAATAAATCTTTAATATCGAGCATAAGACAATATATCGATCGGTGACAAAAATAGTTATCTCCATGTCATGAATGGTTTAACTATGAAATAGAACCAACTCTTTTAAGCATCATTCACGAAGTACTAGCAAAAATAAGTAATATCATAGAAATACTGTTTTGGTTAACAAGAACTGTGGCTAACAATATGTAAGGAATTGTTATGACGTGAATATAATAATGATGGAAATACAAGTACTGTATTACATATCAGAATGAAAGTTACAATAATAATCATGCACAGTTTCATACGTGTGATAGATAATACAGATAGTGAAGTTCTTTTGTAAAGTACAACATCAATAAGTATATTTAGGTTCCCAATAATCATCATTATACTTAAATAAGAATGAAAATAAATGATTAATACTAAAATTAATACTGACCGTTTTAACATTGTTAATAAACTATGTGTAACTAATGACACTCAATTACATACTATTATTGATGTAGTATTAAAGATAAAATTTGTGAAAGTAATCAACCACTAATCAGTTGTAAGTCAGAGAGAACTTTATCTTATCATGTATATACAATCAACTGGATTGTTGCGAGAGAGGGATACATATAAGGGGCGTTTCAAAAGTTTTGTAAAAATTTTGGAATTCATTATTCTCGCGTTCAACAAAGGCAAAATTTTTGAAACTTTGACAGATTATCATACATATCAAGTACTATATAATGACAAAATTTGAGATCTATAGCTTTCACTATGGGTAAGAACTCATGACAAGATTGTCATGTACTAATTTTTCAACTTACCTGATCATCTTGATTATTATTAAAAATATACAAATAATGGAAATGAAAAGAAACACAAAATAATAGGTATTGATGTTCGTGTGATTTATTAACGTCTTGATGTATCACCATATTTAATTACGCTAATATTCTATCCGTCATTTATTGACATAATGAAACACTACTTTTATTACATTCCTGTTCGATGGTTGTTTTCCAAAATGTTCAATATCAGTATTCTTGCTATTGCTATTTCTCTTTTAACGCTGTTGAGGAAGTTCTAATCCGTCGCATTTAATCGAAAACTTGTGCTACTAATTAGCCAACCTTTGATCTACGGAAAAAAGTTTGGAGTGCATTAAAAGAGATATACAATAGCAAGAATATTGACATTGAACAGGAATGTAATACATGTAGTGTTTCATTCTGTCAATAAATGACGGATAGAATATTAGCGTAATTAAATACAGTGATACATCAAGGCATTACTAAATAATACGAACATCAATACCTATTATTGTGTGTTTCTTTTCATGTCCATTATTTGTATTTTTTTAATAATAATCAAGATGACCAGATAAATTGAAAAATTAGTACATGACAATCTTATCCTTGGTTCTCACTCATAGTGAATGCTATAGATTATGTAGTACTTGATATGTATGATAATCTGTCAAAGTTTCAAGAAGTTTGCTTTTGTTGAACGCGAAAATGATGAATTCTAAAATTGTTACAGAACTTCGGGAAGATCCATTATATACTCCTATTCTTTTTTTTGCTTCATCAGCCAATAGGTTCAGAATCTTTAAATGTGCGCTATTTATCAAAGTTCGAGTGGAAGTCAGGAAAAATATTTAATCTGAAGATGTATGGATACAGAGATATTAGTGATGCAGATATCTCTGATAGATGCACTTCTTTGTAGTTGATGGACTGTTGACTCGTACCTTCATATAGCTGTTGATATCTTCAGCATTTTCGATTTTTCGAATTTTTCACACTGCTATTCTGGCGGTGTTCTCAATTAAGAATTTATTAACAGAATCAAGGAAACAGCAAGAGAAACCTTTTAGAAATCATCATCTTGCTTGTAATTTAAAATGAATTTGATGACAAGAAATTATTTCTCAAACAAATACAGTAATTTTAAATCCGGCAAATAAATTTTGAACAATTAAGTCAATCCATATCAAGGTGCCATTATATCAGTAGTTATCTCGTTCATGCATCTCACTTTCACGCTTCGGATCTATTTATTGAAATTGCTGGAATAACATTACACAGTGAGCAGTACAAAAAATTAATTATACTGATACACATTTTGTACATTCTAAAAAAAATAGTATATTTAACATGCAATGGCGCGAGAGTTATTGAAAAGAAACCTTGTGCTAATTGAGAATACCACCCAAAAATGTTACCTGTTTTCTTAATTGTAACAACGACACAGTGTTGATTTATTTATTGGTTTTTTATTTTTTTTCTACCAATAAAATAACTACCATTATGGTTGTACTTCAAGTACGATTGATGATTTCTAGCATCATAGAGTGTCTCGAAATGATCTGTAAACCATTTCCATACATAATACTTGATACGAATTGGATGTAATATATCCCCTGTATAGCGTTCACTCGTATATAACTGATCCCACCATCGTTCACCGAAAATCAATATACCATTGGGTCGTAACGAGTTGTAAATATTCTGCAAAATCTGATAAGCATTTTGCACATGTTCGAGTACATTAATTATGAGAATAGTATCAAATTCGTTCATGTATTGACTCATTTCTTCAGATGGCAATGAGACAATATTAGTTGGAATGTAGTCAAAATCTATTAATGTACCACTTTTATATGTGCAGTGAGTCACCAACTTCATATAGTATTTTGCATTTGGATCCCACAGGGTCAACTTGCGTATATTTACATTCTTTCCCTTAAAACGAAGTATTGACAATGTTTGAGTAAACGGACCGCAACCGACTTCAACCATATTACCCAATTCTTTCGGTAACATTTTGTAATAATCAAAGCCTGCCAAATGATCGCTCCAGCGGTCATCATATGCCACATAAGTTATCCAAAATTTAGCTTCTTGTCTAGCGGCCTTCTTCCATCTTTCAATTGACACTTCACCGATGCCATACAATGGATGGATGAAACACCTATCGTCACTGTTTCCTACACAAGAATTGACTGTTGTCTGATTCGATGGAATTTCACAGTCAATTCCATCATAACCAACCAAACAAAAGCATTTACCAATCAAACAAGTGCCATGATGTTGACAATGATGACGATGACAGGTCACATCTCGTGGTATTGTCCATAGTGCAGTATACAACTCACGTGAAAAGATCAAATATAAGAGTAAAACTACTAGCAATACAGCCATACAAGTAAATATGTGAGTCTTGTGTGTTCTCATTTTATGTAGACAAGTAAATCTCAAGTGTGATCTAGAAACTAGATCAAAAGCAAGATAATAAATATTTTCCGAAAAATTTTGTGTTCTTAGATGTGAGGATCATGTCATCCCAGTTAAGAAGCGACTTTTGTAATGTGTTCATACTTAGTAGACAGATTTATTGAATATTTTTATTGATACGCAAAAAAATATGTTGTTTTTTGCGTAAATGGGTGTAGAAAGAATATCAGAAGTCTACAAATGATTAGAGAAAAAATACTAGACTCACCGTTAGATTCATACTCAAAAAACACAA